GAGAGAGAGAGAGAGATGATACGGCCCCCCCACACACATCAGTTCCTTCTTCGGGCCGGGGTCGCGTTGGAGGTGGAGAGTGTTGCCAGCAGCCTCATCTTCTTCCGTGCTTTTCTGGTTTGTCCACAATCCCAACAAACATGCACAGCCAAAAGTGCTTTAAAAATTCGGGGGAATCCGCTGCAGCTGATGCAGAGGCGCTGCGGTGCCCGCTTTATACCCCGGACGGCGACTTCCCAGCCATGCCCTTCAGCACCTCGTCTATTCGATCGTCTTCGATGACCACTGCAGGGGGGAGGGGGGGAGGGAAGGAAGGAGAAACCCAACACGCGCCGTCAGGACGGGAGGCGCCGGGTCCCGTCCCCCCAGTGGCCTCTTAGCCCCCCCGGGGTGGGGGGTGGAGGGGTGTTAGACGGGCAACTTTGGCTCCGGGAAGCTCAGATTACGAGTCTCTCCCCCCCCCCTCCCCCCCTTTCCCTCCCCCCCCCCTTTCCCCCACCAACGGAATTCCCGCTGGCCATCCAGCCCCTCTGCCGGGGGGGGGCGGGGGGAGAGGCTGGGGGAAAGGCCCCCTCCTTGCACTTTCTACGGGGCTCTGGGGAAAGAGAGCCGGCCGGAGCGCTCAAGTGACCCGCGTTGGGGGGCGGGGGTGGAACCGGCGGCTGGGCTTTTTTTTTTTCTCCGGGGAGGAGAGAGCAGAAAGCGCCGAGAATTCCTGCGCCAAAGAGGCCTGGTGGGGATCAAGCAGCCGCGGTCGTAGCGTTTGGATCTCCCAACGCGGGGCGCGATGGAGAGGTCTTTTTTTGGGGGGTGGGTGGGGGGTGTTGAAGAAACATAGCGCCAGGCTAAACAGCCAGTCGGCCGGCCGGCCCTCCCCGCTTTTCTGCGGCAGGATCCACCTGCGGGTGGGAAAAAATTACAGCGGCAGCCAAGTTGGGGCTGTGGGGGGGGGGTCGAGGGGGGATCTCAGCCAGGGGAATTACAGGGGGGGCGCACGTCCATTTACTTCCCCCCTCCCTCCCCAGGAATCGCAGAGCAGGGGGTTGAAATGCCTGGCTCCCTAATTCCACCCCCCCACACCCCCTTTCCACGATCCTGCAGCGACAACCAAAGGGACAAGCGGCGGACAGGGATGGGTGGCCTTGGGGGCAGGTGGGGGGTGGTGGTGGGTGGTGGTGGGGATGGGCTGAGAAGGATGTTTGCGGCGATCCTTGTCCCGGGAGGACGCGCGGGGTCCGCTCACCTCGCTTGGCTCGTCCGATCTGTCCTAACTTGGGGGGCCGCTTGGATTGGTTGCCCCAGGAGTTGGTGTCCTGGAGGCGGCAGCTGAAGGAGATGTCGCCCACCTCCGAGTCGGTGCCATAGCGGGCCACTTTGTCGTCGTTGTAGGGCAGGATCTCAGACATGGTGGTGGCGGCGGCGGCGGCGGCGAGGAAGAGGGGAAGCGGTAACAACAACAACAACAACAAAGCAAGGAAACGGGCAAGGAAGGCTTTGCTTGGGTGCCTGCCGAGCTTTTGGAGCGAGCGAGCGCGCGCGAGAGAGAGACAGAGAGAGAGAGACAGAGACACAGAGAGAGAGACAGAGACACAGAGAGAGAGACAGAGACACAGAGAGAGAGACAGAGAGAGAGAGAGAGACAGAGACAGAGAGAAGGCTGGCCAAGAGCTAG